TTTTGTGATTTGATGATTCTTGTTCACTGTGGCCTTCAAGTAATCTGTGCTGACGCTATTAGATCTCGTCCTTCTCGACGTCAACGTTGCAAACATACTATTCCTGAATATTCAAACCAGTGACGTTAAAATAATTATGAAACTTCTCTGTCAGCCACTTTTAGATTACGTAGGTCATGAGGTAGAAAAATCTTGAACACATATGGCCACTGACTCAATTCAAGCCATGACAACAGTGTCTAAAAAGTCGATATAGGCAGAGATATTGATCCTAGAATTCTATGGCGAAAAGTAGGAAAACATAATGACTTTCGTTGCTTAAAACCAGCCGTTTCTTCACAAACTACGTAAATGTTTTGACTGCAACTGTGAGTAAATTTATGGGGGCCGAGATAGAATCATATCTCTCTCATTTTCATCACATGAACCTTTCAAGAACGTCCGAATTGCTTTGACCTCTTTGTTAGTACGATGAGTACAACGTGACTTTGCATTTGCTAAGAGATTGGAACTTGCAATGTTAATGCTTTCCATATCACTGAAATGGAAAGTAAAACAATGACATTTGGTGCATACCACGTGACATTACATTAGTACTCCTTCATTTTATAGCCCGCTAAAATGCATTTCTTAAATGTCTAGTACACACTCACTTTCTCTCTCTCTCTCTCTCTCTCTCTCTCTCTCTCTCCCTTCTCACACGTATATATATATATATATATATATATATATATATATATATATGAATGGTTGGATCGTTTGGAAAAACCTCGGATAGCTCAACTTGCAGTAGAACAAATAGGTACCCGAGTAAAAATGGGGAATAAAAAAAGAAAGAACCAAGAACATTAAACCAAGGAGAAAACAATCGTCCAGTGTTCAACCTCCAAGTCCAAAGAAAAAAAAACAAGGCGAGTAAAAAGACAACTACGTAAAGTGCTCAATACACTAAGTAGAGCAAAACCTAAAAAATCTAATCCCTAAGGAGCCAGGTTTCAGTCAAACGGATCTTCAGGGTAATGCTGGCCAGCATTACCCTGAAGATCCGTTCAGGTGAAACCTAGGTAGGTTTCCCTGGCTCCTTAGCATTATATTATATATATATATATATATATATATATACATGAATTATTCACACAAAACTAATGCAAAAGGTTAATGATTTTAAATGGCAAGACATCCATCTCACAAACAATTCAAATAATACACAAAACCTTAGATCCGTTATGAATGAATTGATCCTTGTTCATATAAATTTCTGCCGTATTAGTTGTTTATTTTACACAAACTTTCGTCTGTTCATACAGACATCTTCAATTATATAATAGATGTTGTTCTTGTTTTTTTTCTCTTAGTAATAATATTTTCGATGTCCTCTTATTACTAAGAAAAAAAAACAAATAATTCATGTATTTGTAAATTGATTGCACGTTTATTGTAATTTAAATAACCGATCCATATTGCGTCTTTTGGTTAATAAATGCGACACATTACTGTAATTATTGAACAATATAGTTCATGCCACTTTGACAGTAAAATTTACCAGTAAAATAATTTATTCATTACCATATTTGGTATAAACGCAAACATTTAAAAAGAAATTCAAAAATCAAACTCAGCGTTGCATTGGCGCGTTCAAAAACCAATATCTCATTTTCAATAGCATTTCGGATACAATACACATATATTTTCGATGTCCTCTTATTACTAAGAGAAAAAAAAAAAACAAGAACGACATCTATTATATACCTGAAGATGTCTGTATGAACAGACGAAAGCTTGTGTAAAATAACAACTAATACGGCAGAAATTTATATGAACAAGGATCAATTCATTCATAACGGATCTAAGGTTTTTGTGTACTATTTGAATTGTTTGCGAGATGGATGTCTCGCCATTTAAAATCATTAACCTTTTGCATTAGTTTTGTGTGAATAATTCATGTATTTGTAAATTGATTGCACGTTTATTTAATATATATATATATATATATATATATATATATATATATATATATATATATGCAGCATATTTTAATTCAAGCATGTTTGGTCAAATTATTATATGTTTGGTTTCTAAAGACACGAAGAATTTAATTAGTGGACTTGTAAGGATTAAAACTAAAATAAATAGACAAAATATGTCTAAATTATTTAACCAAACATTCTTGCGTATATATATATATATATATATATATATATATATATATATATATATATATATATATTATAAATTAATTGATTTAAAAATATGGTTATTTTTAACTACACAGTTCCAACCATGTTTCAAAAATAGAAGCTAAAACCCCTAATTTAATTTTGCAATTAAATTAAAAGCATTAGTTCCATTTCATCTTCAAGCGAATTTTGGAGTAACTTTTTAAAAATTACCGGGTTTTAAAGACACAGCTAAAATCACGTTTCCATGGTTACAGAATATTCTACTCAAATTGAACAAGGGGTGTCTAGATTTTCCTTATGTCATTATCATTGTATCAGTTATTAGCTACAATTTGGTAAGGGGGTAGGGATGTATTTTACACTGAAACCTGACATCAGTTGAATGGATGTCGTCTGAATTTTTTTTTTTTTTTTTTTTTAAAAAAAAAAAAAAATTAACGGTAAAAAAATTTCAACGTCATTTTTAAATTTAAAGATTTTTTCTAATACTTTTTTATTTAACTCCGATTTGAAATATTTTCCTTTTTAATTTTTTTTTTTTTTTTTATTTTACTATATTCTTTTTAAGAACAGTTAAATGTATTAGAATCCATTATATTATGTAGGATTATTTTAACATTAAGTTTAAGTATGTATATGAGGTACATTTTTTTTTTTTTTTTTTTTATATATGACTATGACAGCAAAATGGTTTACTTAATTTCACTGATTCAGTAAACTTTTATTTTATATATAAACCTAGTATTATAATATTTCACATGTAAGTACTGAGGACATGGGTCATTCAAAAGCTTACATCTTATGGTATTTCATATTAATTTTATTTTACTATAGGTGTTATTTTTGGATTCTTTTTTTAATGCGTGTAGTATTATTTAAAAAAGAAATTTAGGTTAGAATTCATTCAATTTAACTACAATTTTAATTACAATTTCAAAATTACAACTTTAAAATTTTAAAATATTTTTCATTGTTTTAGTTTTAATAGACTATAGTCATTTCTCAGATTTAGTAAACTTTATTTGTTTATTAATTAATTAATTTATTTATTTCAAATATATGTAACCTAATTAATAAAGTTTCATATGTATGTATAAATAACAGGTTTAGAATTCATTTTATTTTTACTACAATTTTAATTTCAATTTTAAAATTACAACTTTAAAATTTTAAAATGTTTTCATTATTAGTTTTAATTTAGACTATATTACTTTATAACAGAAGGATAATTACTCATAGTAAGTAAAATTTTTCCATATCAAAGTATATATAAATTACAATTTTAAACTTTTAATTTAGATATTATTTAAGTAATATTAATGGCCCAGACTACAAAACTATCTAAGTCATTTCTCAAATTAGTAAACTTTATGTATTAATTCAAGTTTAAGTATGTATATGAGGTTACATCTTTTTTTTTTTTTTTTTTTTTTTTATATATATATAAACCTAGTAATATAATGTTTCTCATGTAAGTACAAAGGACATGGGTCATTCAAAAGCCTACATCTTATGGCATTTCATATTAATATATATATATATATAATAAGTACCGCGCATATAATATATAAATAATTATACATATATATATTTATTTATGTTTATATACACTTTTCACACACATATATATATATATATATATATATATATATATTTGGATCAATTAGTGTGTTTGTGTGTTTGTTTGTATGTGCGTGCATGTGTGTGTGTGTGTGTGTGTGTGTGTGTGTGTGTGTGTGTGTGTGTGTGTGTGTGTGTGTGTGTGTGTGTGTTTGTGTGTGTTTAGTAGATATTATTTATATCTGGTACTTGTCCGAATGTTGCTTTTAGCGATAAACATGTTACACTTTCATAATCATTTTAACTCCAGTTTGGGGGTTAGCTATTTACCCATAGCTAACCTGACATCTCGGTTTCAGTAACTTGTCCACTACGGTAATGTAGCTTCACTGTGCTCGCTAGCTAGCTAGCTAGCTAGATAGATAGATAGATGTTAATCGACTGAGACAGATGGATACATAGATAGAAAGAAAAATAAAGGAGACATGTGAATAGGTTGAGATATATAGCGAGAGACAGATGTGAATAGACTGAGATAGAGAAAGAAAGCAACAAAGAAACAAAGCAACAAACAAAGGGAGGGGAGATAGATAGATAGATAGATAGATAGATAGATAGATAGATAGATAGATAGATAGATAGATAGATAGATAATATTAACACGTAATTTATTTCGTTTATTATTTTGCAATTTTTAAATCTTCTTTCATTCATTATTTTCTTTCCTTTTCTTTTCTCCATTTTTTTTCTTCATTTTTATTTTCACTCTCTCGTTTTTTTCCATTTTTCCCTTTTCCTTCACTTTCTCTTCAGTTTGATTCTTATCGTTTTTATTAACATTTCACTTCGTTGAGTTGATACTGATTTTGCCTCCCGTTGCATTTTCCTTCAGAATTCTTTAGTCGATTATTGCCTAACCAAAATTCCCACTTATATTCGAGAATTACCATAACATTTCCCAATACAGTTGCACCATCGCTTATATTTCAAATTTTGTTCTCTGTGTGTCTCCTGGACATGAATAGAGTTGGTATGACCATCCTTTATTCTGATTCTTTCTCATTAATACATTTATTATTATTTTGGGGGTTAAATTGTTTTTCTTCATGTTCTATTGTCCTCTGGACATGACCTCCTTTCTCTAAAGAATTTCAACTGCCTTTTCATATGTCTCTTTCATCATTATTATTATTGCTTCTCTCTTGTTGTCTTTTATCAATGATCCCTTAAAGAATGACTATTGGAAGGCAGCGGGGTCTCCAGCCATATCTCAGTGAAACACCAGGAATCGTCCGATCACTAAAGTTAAGCAATATCTCGCATGGTCAGTACTTAGATAGGTGACCACTTTGGAATACTGCGTGCTGTAAACTTGTGTATATGGTTAAATCTATAACGGCTCAGATTTGCAAATCGGATAACTGAGTTCTAATTCCATTCGAGTCTGTTATGTCCACTTACGTCCAAATGGAATCCTCCTCTCCCCACATCTACGGGTTAATTAGTATCGGTAAAGTATTTTTATTGCCAAAAAAGTCTTATAATCTAAAATATATTTCCTGGCTTTAACCCGCAAAAGGTTGATAACCCGTAAAAAACAATCAAGTGATCAATTAGCCGTTCAGTAATCAGTTGAACCAAACTTATGAGAGGCTATACGTTGTTTCATTTAGTGAATCGGCATCTTAGGAGAAGTGAGGAAGAGATATTTGTTACAATCGGACCAGTGGGCTAAGCAAGCAGGAGAGAACCAAGGAGAAAGCTTCGATCTCGGCTTTGATACAAGAAGTGTCCTTAGTCAAAGATTTTTAACACGATAATTAAAAATGTAGTTGAAGGGGTACCGCGGAGAAATGAGTCACAATCAGTGCGTTGATAACATAAAGCCGACATAAAGTCGTTCTGTTAAAAGCGGTTGTAGATGACAGAGTTGCAGAGCATGACATGAGTCTGAGAGGAGGTAAGGTAGAGATAAATTAAAAAACAGTGTCTGTCAGAGTTACCAGGGAAACGAGTGGGTAAGTCAACTATTTGAGTGATAGATTGAACAATTGAAAAGTTCAAAGTCTGGATACCAGCGAGGTAAATGGCAGTAGAGTGACGAAAACACATGACATGATGGACATTGAAATTGTCGAACAAAAGAAAAACATTTGCAGAATAGTGTACAGTGAATCAATACTATCAGAAATTCTATCTAACAAGTAAAAGTCGTGAGAGGAAAGGGAACGATAAAGCAAGAAGATATAACTGAGTTTAATAGTGAAATTCAGAAGTATAATCTAGAAATTCAAAAGACAGTTCCTTTGCGAGTAGCCATGCATGTGGAAACACAAGAGTGCTTTCGAAGAGATGAATTTGGCCAGGAACAGGGAATTTACTATATACATGTATGGACGTATTAATGAAAACAGCATGCAGAATAACAGTCTATCGCCTTAACAGATCATCAGATTATGTCAGATGATCTCTTAAAGCGTGTAACTGACATTCACCATACTGTATTGATTCCTATGTTCACACTGTTTATATGTATTAGGTTTTGTTTTGGGAATTTTTCGTTTATATAATTTTGGTTCGTGACTAATGAAAGTTCTCTATAACGAAATGTTTATTTTCTATATTTTCAACTACACACACCCACATATATATATATATATATATATATATATATATATATATATATATATATATATATATATATATATATATATATACGTGTGGAGGGGGCGCGCGCGAGTGTGTGTGTGTCGCATAGGAATATCTGCATTGCGTGATTTTGGTAAACCATAAAGTCTGGTTATTTTAGAATGATAGTCGATCGGTTTCGTTCATGGTCAAAATTGATCGATATCAACTTAAAATAACCGTTTATACATATATATATATATATATATATATATATATATATATATATATATAAGGCTGAAGTTAAAGTATTTCCTTCGAGAGAAAAGTTGTATATTAAAAAGATATTAAGAGATAAACCGCAAATGTTTTTGGTTATAACGTGGATTTTTAAAAAAAATATTATGCTTTATTTCCCATAATTTTACTACACCTGTTTCCGGTCTCGCGACCGTCATCAGGCAAATGGTGGAGATTTCCACATATTATTAAAAAATAATAATTTTTTTTTAGTTTTTTCTTTGTTAAATATTCTCGATATGAGACATTCTCTTTTTTATATGTTAGTTACCCAAAAGTCTTTCATGAACTGTTAGTGAAAATTTCTGCGTGAAGGCTTATAAAACAATTAAGATTGGTTCTGAGAAATGGTGAACGAGTTATCACCATTCTTATCTTTTAATGACCCCTGTGTGTTCTTAGATCTATTTCCATTTTCGTGTGTTTTTGTCAGCATGCGTGTATATATGTATATTCCCTCTCCATACATACACACTGCCTCAACACAATACATACATATATATAAATGGTTTATTTATTGATGATGTTGAATGTAAAATAAATGGTTTATTTATTTTACATTCAACATCATCACTTGATAAGACACCGGAGGTGTTGAAACAAAATGGCTATTTTTGTAGTGATTTTATAACATATTTATGTTATAAATTTTTTTAAATAAATAATTATATATATATATATATATATATATATATATATATATATATATATATATACACACACATACATTTATATACATATATATATGTATACACACATTTATATATATATATATATATATATATATATATATATATATATATTGTAAATCAGCATAAACAATGTCAACAACATATGACAACGAGCAGACAAAATCAATGTCGATTTGGAATTTAGATTCTAATTATCATACGTTTTTTTTCTCACTGGATATGTCAACAAACATGACATGAACAATACTAACGAAATAAAAAAATTGCTTTTCGTAAACTTGATCACCTACTTAAAATTCACGGATGTGGACGAAAATGAAAGACCACCAGCACTTCAAAATTCGCGGCAATATTTCATTCTTTAATATGGTGTGCTTAGTTAAATTTGTAACGTATTTACATTTAGGAAGAAAAAACGAAAATATTCATAAGCTCGCGAGGATCGCAAAGAGCAGCCCGAGGTCCCCAATTAGGCTTGATGGGTCGGGTGTACTAGGCGTCGGCCCTGTCCGTTGTACATTTCGATGATGTATATTTCTACGAATGATACAAAATGATGGTCGAACCCAAAATGTCTTGTTCTCATATTTTCGCCAATGAACATATTTTTTTCATAGCTATCACTTGGCTGTCAGCAAGCTGATATATGAAACTAAATTACTCATGAATTTTGTTGTCTGTAAAAATTCTTTGATTGAAAACCAGGTCTCTATTTTTTGACAGTTAAATTTTGTAAAATTTGTTGGCCAGGTTTTTTTCCTGGCCACCAAATCCTTCTTACCGAGGAAGATAGGATTTAGGGAGGAATAATATTTAAGTATACACGACTCTAGCCACGAAAATAACGTCTAGTGTTCAGGTCGAAATTATCGAGTTTCTATTCGTCTTGCCCTCCCACTCAGGCAAAATTAAGTGTGTCGTTATATGTGATTGGGGATGGCTGTAGTGTGAATGGTTCAAATATTTCTTAATATGCTCTTCATTGGTTCAAAACCTCGCCGTCAACTTCAGTTTATTTCAAGAGGATATTACTTATTATAACTAATTAGGATTTTATTAATTTATTTTCGGAAATTTTCTCTCTTTTCACCATTCAAACTTAATGGACAATTTTGCTTTGATTTTAAAAAAGCCCGAAGCCTCTATGGAAGGTTTACAAGTTTACAAGCCTCCATCCTCCTTTCCCTGTAATGTTTAGAAATATATAATTCGGTCACCTGCGTAAATGCGAAGCTCTTCAGTAAAACGAATAGAGCTCTATGGCTGGTTGGTGTTTGTTTACGTTTCTAAAATCAATACTCTACATTTGGCTGACTCATTCTGTCGAGTGATGATGGCTCAGCTCTGACTGACACCAAATCGGTTGGGTTTCGATCCAGGCTTGGGGCATTCGGTTGTCTAGTCGCACTGAGGAGCTGTGATACAGCAGAAAACAGTATTGTCTGCAATTGCATATATATATATATATATATATATGTGTGTGTGTGTGTGTGTGTGTGTGTGTGTGTGTGTGTGTGTGTGTGTGTGTGTGTGTGTGTGTGGTGCATAATTATCAGGCGTTTTAAAATAATATTTATTATGAAAAAAGAAATCTAACAATTCAACAATGACATTTTTAAATGGTTATTCCGGAGCGTATGATTATCGACACACATTTTATAACCTGAAAATAAAATATTTTTATTAAAAGAAATAAACAAAACAGCAACTTTTATTAACAAACAACTCGCCTTCAAAAACGCCTGATAATTATACACCAACCCAACATATGATTGAAAAAATATATAGAGACCAATTAGAATTATCATACACAAACACACACAAATTATAAACACTAATGCTGCTTAACAAATACATGTGCTTTATTTCTGTCCGTTCTCCAAGAAAGATCATCCGAAATCTACTCGTGAAAAATGATTATTTACGTATGCAAAAGATTATAAAAACATATCTTAGTCTAAATTAGTTTATTGTAGAAAAATGCAAATCATAATTAATACTCATTATATAACCCGCTTTGCATGACCTGGCATCTCGACTAAAGTCACTTTCTCACAGACGTGATATGGCTTCCCTCTGACTTTTCTACGCATATTTTCCTAGCATCTGCTCTGACTAGCTACTTTCACTGTTACACCAACTGCATGAATTTAAGCGTGCCACTAGGTTGGCATCTTGTTCCCAGCTTTTCACTGTCAAAACAGTTAAAGGTAAATGCTTCTTCTACTCCAACACCACTTTCGCACTCACTTCCCAACAGTGGAACTCCCTTCCTCTTACTCACTTCCCTTATAACTCTAATCTTCAAATATTCAAATGTAATGCCAATCGTCATCTTCTGAGACCTTGATCTTAATCCCTGTTCTTCGCTTTATCCTTTCTTATTGGCATCTCTTCTTTGCTTGGGGTGAAATGCTTTAAAAAAGAAAGAAAACCCAAAAGAATCATTAAAGTCGAATCATTATCTGCAGTAGCAATAGCAATAATAATTATATTATCAGCAGCAGCTGTGTGCACCCAACATATAAACTTAGACATTACAACCAATCTTGTGTATGTGCCTTTGCAAGTAAAACATTTCTCTATTTTTATTTCTTTTAAGGTGGGAGAAAATCAAGTGAAATAAATGAATAATGCTTTTATGAAATAAAATTAAAACTTACTTTCTCTCATATTTCGGACTTTCATATTTATTTTAAGAATGCATTGTGATTATAATATTTGCTATTTTAATTTCCTTTACTGCGATC